GGTACTTGAGAGGTAAAACTTAATTAGCATAGTCCCATTTCTTCTGTTGATATTAACGTAACCTAAATGTTTCTAGCTTCATTTTAAAGTGGCTCGAACTATTATTAATTAGCATTTAATATGTATCATTGCGTTAGGTTCAAGTTTTGACAGATAATAGTAATAATAACAGTAATATTACGAGTCTCTTGTGCAGTGCATTTTTCTCGCGTGAAAACTATTCACATTTTCTCTAGACTTTTAAAGATATGTGATTTGTCAAAATTCAAAAAAGTCAAATTATGATACATTGACTTATATAATAATATTAAATTATTAAAATATTATACTATATTATCAATATATAATATTTGAGTGTGAGGGAGTATCCATTTTCCCCTTCAAAAAAGATGCAGTATACAGGGTATCCCAAAAAAAGATACTTAACTTTTAATGGCTGTAACTCGAAAAGTAATAGAGTTAAAAAATTTTGGAAGGTCAGGATTTGTTTCCTATGTTTTTCTGCATCTCTCCACCAAAAATCAGACAGATCAATATAGCCATAAGCGTTTGATAGAACTTGCAGTGACATGTGCTAAAATCGTGCTTGCGCAAAGTTTTAGTAAGATCATTTTGCATACTCATTACGTTGTCTTGACATGTTTTCTTTTCGCTGTTTGATTTTTAGCGCATTTTCTCATTTATAAAATAATGCACTATTGTGCTCGCCATGTCCGTCTGTCCGTCCGTCTGTCTGTCCGTCTGTCGTCCGTCCGTGACTTCATGTTTTCTTTGAATCTTTGGTGAGACACAATCATGACAATCTTTGGTGAGACACAATCATGGCAATCTTTGGTGAGAGAGAATTTCAAAACCAAAGATTGTCTCTCACCAAAGATTGCCATGTTTTTGTCTCACCAAAGATACAAAAAAATGTAACTCAGTACTCACTGCAGTGAGTGACAGAGAGCGCATTTTCTCGTCGACGAAAACATGAAGTCACGGACGGGCAGAAGGACAGACGGACATAGCGAGCACAATAGTGCATTTTTTCATAAATGAGAAAATGCGCTAAAACATAAAACAACGAAAAGAAGACATGTCAAGACATCGTAATGATTATGCAAAATGATCTTACTAAAACTTTGCGCAAGCACGATTTTAGCACATGTCACTGAAAGTTCTATCAAACGCTTATGGCTACATCGATCTGTTTAATTTTTGGTGGCGAGATGGAGAAAAACATAGGGAACAAATTCTGACCTTTCAAAATTTTTAACTCTATTACTTTTCGAGTTACAGCCATTCAAAGTATGGTATCAGTTTTTTTTAGACACCCTGTATAGAGTGCCTCATGCAGTGGGACGGCCGATTCTATCCGCGGCAAGTTTGGTGACGTTACAAAGAGAATATAGGCATTCGTTTCTGTGCAAATTGTTTTCAGAAGTGTACGCATCAGAATACATTCAATTCATTTCAATTCAATTTACATCAGTATACATTTATCATGAGCATACATCAGTTATGCGTCTTGCTCACAGTCATCACATACGAGTATGATGTGTGGTGTAATAATTTACATCAGTTGGACATCGTTCACGAAACATACGTCAGTATAAGTTCTCCCAATGCTACGGCAGTCAATTATCAAGCTGATTTCATACCTGAACGTCAGTTAATGGTCGTAAATTAGCATACGAATTTCAAAGCGCCGTTTTTGAGCATATTGTTTCATCCATCACTTGAACTAACCTTCAAAAACTACAGAAGAAAAAAACTACACGAAAAAAAACTCGTTAGACGAGCGACAATCGATGAAATTATATATAATATATTTGGTAGAGATTTATGATATGGTGCGCAGTTGAGAATATGTCGCTGTAGTCGGTGGAATTCTTGCGAGCTATGAATCTTTATTAATTTCTGACAACGACCTGTAACGATGGGGCTTTATGATTTGTTTTAAAAACATTTACATTTTATTAATGTTAAGCCTTGTTTCACTGAATTAAATTTTACGTTACTGTCCAAGGCCACATCGAGGCCTCCGTCGTTGCCCGTCATATCTCAGCAGTGTGCTGGTAAGTCTTTCACTCCACCGAGGACGAAAATGTAGAAAATTTCGTGACAAATCTAAACTAAGAAATGCAAATACATCTCCTAAATTTGTCATTTAAATCATTTCTAACATTTAAATAATATAAGATGAAAGAACCCCCGTGTAAGAGTCTTTCAGTTTTACATCAATGAAAGACTTTCGACGTCATACGCTGCAAAATTTCTTCTTGTCGGTACGTGTCACACCCTACAGTGATTTTCTGAGTGAGTTCTAAAAATTACTATTTTATTCAATCCTAAATAGGATTTGACATTGTGAATCAAAATCATAGAAAGTATTATATATTATTCTTTCTCATTAGACAAATGCATATGCAATGAAATTGATTTTAAAGTCTACGGTTTAAGCTCGTGAAATTAAACTATCTTGTGGCCCAATGGCAAGTCGCTCGTTGTAGCTCTCATCCATACACCGACCAAATCATACATACGCCATGGTAAATCTGCCATGACTGATTTAATTATTTCAATCATAGCTCGGTTTTGCTTTAATGATGTCATGCTTGTCACTCTAAAACATGGGCAGGTTAATATTCTCGAATGTTCTCGGCATTTTAGTGATGCGATTATGAGCAGATTTTGTTCACATGACATTCTTGTAAACGATATTTTTTTTTGCTGTAAGTAACTTATGATTTGCTATAAGTTAGCATACAATCTCCTGCTCCAGCGCTTTGCTGACTCAGACCAATTTTCCTTAAGCCGTTCATGTAAATGATTCGGTATCGGAGAGTTAAAATTTTTAATTTCAATCAAACAAGAGGTCAAATGTTATTTTCCAGCCATCACTATTTTAGAAGAATATGTCATCTTCATATTATTTATGAGATAAATTGTGGATTAAGTTCTAAGGAGCAAGCTTTGACGTCAATCAGAATAGCAGATTACAATAGACCAACTTGCACGCCGGTATATCGTGGCCAGACCTGCAGAAGAGGAATTGAACGGCCTCCCGCTTCCACCAGAGCTTCCGTGTCGAAATAAATAATTTTGTAAGAAATGAATTATGGTTTAAAATACTTGAGTGTCAGATTCATACGAGCATTAGAAATGAAGAGCGACACACCAGCTCTTTATGCACTACGCATATAAAATATCTGATTTAAGCTAAAAATTACTCTTTGCTCTATGCATATTAATTTAATGATGCAGATTTGTGTCCAGATTTACGGCATTCAAGCGAAGGCTGAACAATCGTTTATTAATGCTAAATATTTATCAGGAGTGATTTATTAATTTTATTATATTTATTCGTTTGTTCCCGCTGGTGCGATGCCCCATCCATTTAATGGGCATGGTATTTATCGTGATTTATTTCGAGCAGTTTTCATCGTGTTTCTTCTACTGATTATTAAAGAACTGACTTAATGATTCTCGTCAGATCTGCTGTGTGCTCATCTAATAGTCATGTTAATATCGACTTTATGTTATGAATATTATAAAGGTCCGAAAATTCATTGGAAGAGAGCTTCGACTCTCGTGGAATTTTTTAGAAGAAAGTGCCCTAGATTATCCGACCAGGCAGCGGCAGACAGCAGTGACAGGCGGGCAGTCGGCGCGGGCAGCGGGCACGAGTGACAGACCAAGTCTTATTTAAACAAACTTACAGTCTTCAGCGCGTACAAGTGCGCGTCTAATATATTGTAAGAAGATTTAGTTACGGTGTCTGACGTTGCGATTTTTTATTCAAAGCTAATATCGGGCGTGGCACTTAATAAATTATCCCTATCATAAAGCAAATGAACTCGAGTCGCCATAAATGGTTAGTAATGGCCGCGATCGTAAAGACTTAAGAAGGCAAAACTGATTTATCAAAGGAAATGAATAAGGGAAGACGCCAATAATTGAATCGAGGAAAGAGCCAAGTCAACAAACGAATTGATAAAAATAAGAACCTAAATCATGCTGTCTCTGCTATCTGACCGAGCTCGAATCTCAGTCGAGACAATCGGTGCGTCAGGAAGACTAACGTGTCCATGTTGCTCTCCTCGAGGCTGCGTGCTGGCGAACGGGTCGCTGGCGGCGGCGGGGGCGACGTTACCCAGCGCTCAGTACGCCGACCTGCGAGACGTGTGTCAGCTCAACGGGCACCTCCTGCTCCAGCGTAAGCTAATATTATTAAATATTATGTTTTATTTATATCATACCATCATTAAATTTCTATCTGAGCATCTCACGTATTCTTTATGTGCACGATTTACACGTTACCCAGCGCTCAGTACGCCGACCTGCGCGACGTTTGTCAGCTCAACGGGCACCTCCTGCTCCAGCGTGAGCTAACATTGCTGACATATACTGTATTATTTATTCTGGTGTGTATTTATTATTTTATGCGGCGTTATTAAGTGAAGTGTATATATCTACATTTAGCAATCAAGTTAACTGATCACACATCCATTGTTAAAGTCTATCCATTGCCAATATATACTGCAATATTCACTCTATTGTTTGTGTATTACTGCATCATCTACTCCTGGGCTGCCAAATTAACGATACTGACATTTTGGGCATAAATATATGCATTGTACAGCTTTCGCAGCGCGCTAACCGATCATTTTCAAAGTTATTTTGAGTTATCAAGTATAAAGGCTGTTAACGACTGGTTAGGAGCTTCTTACCAAGCTCAGTATTTCCAACAAAAATACTTTTATTACAATTTAATTTGTGAACTTTACATTTATTGAAATCTCGTAGCAGCCCCAATTTTTATTGTTTGTTTAATTTTTTCATGGCAAACCAACTAGAGTTGATTTAAAGTTAAACCAACCAGAAGCGCCGCTGCCATACTTCAAGTTTTAAAATCACAATTATTAATAACTATTCATTAAAAATTTTTCTGATTATTAAAAATTTTTTAAATGATCAAATTAGATGAAATATTTTATTTATTTGTCCGAGTTCAGAACTGTGCGAGTTTGAAGGCAAACTCTACAATATGAACGAGCGAATCGGATGTCTCCAGTGCACCGACATCGGCGTCACCTACGGCGGTAAGTTTTGTCATATTTCATATATACTGTTAATTAACAATCATATAAACTGTTGAGCTGTCGATGCACTCAAAACCAACATTGTAAGAGTGAAATGTCAATGCGCACTACCTTAAGTACAAATCAGAGGTGCTATATGCCCAACGTAAGTACAAAGTAAGGGTGTAGGGTCGGACTTCTGTTTAAGAGACGAGGGCAAAAGCAGCCTTTAGTTTAGAATGCGGATGCAGGGTGAAAGTTGAGATCAAAGTACAGGTTCAGTCAAGATCAACAGGTTCGGTTAAGAAAGTTAAGATCAGTCTTGAGTTCAAAGTACTATTGAAGGGTCAGACATGTGTGCCAAGTACGAGGTTTACCTTCAGTTCAAAGTGCGTGTATATGGTCAGACATGGGATCGGAGTACAAGTGCAAAATCAGGTTCCAGCCCAAAGTAGAGGTGCAAAATCCGCCTTGAGTTCAAAGTGCAGCTAGATGCACAGTAAGCCTTCTGTTCAAAGTACGAGTGCAAGAAAATCTTTTAGTACAAATTACGGCTGCAGGATAAGCTTTCAGTTCAAAGTGCGGGTGAAGAATAATCTTCGAGTTCAAGGTACGAGTGATGGTTCAGACGTGAGTGCTACGTACATGAGCAGGATAAGCTTTCAATTCAAAGTATTGTTGCAGAGTTCAAAGTACGAGTGTTGGTCTGTCTTCAGTTCAGAGTACGGGCGCATATTTAGAATTAAGTACAAAGCGCGGTAAAGGGGCTGACTCAAGTACAAAGTACGGGAACTGATACAGACTTGAGGACAAACTACGGGTCCATGGTCATGATTAGGTACATAGTACGTGAGCAAGCTCAAAATTAGGTACAAAGTACACTCTCTCGGTCATTGGACATGGCCATGGCTCAATATCTTCGTTATCGCACAAGTTTAAAGTCCGATTGTCTGTTGATGGATGAGAGTGAAAGCTTTTGATAAGTTGTAATCTCGTTCCAATTAACTTCGTTCGTTACGTCGAGACACAAGCTAAGTCCGATCTCCCAGACAGTACTATCGTAATTTTTTCTTGCTACTTGAAGCTGGGGTTAAACCTGTTAGTCGCCTGCCACTCGCGAGCAAAGTGCAACGGAAGTCCAAAGTACGTTCGTTCACGTCTAAGTCCAAAGTGCGCGTCTGGTGTCACTGATAGCCTTCTTTCTGCTTTCTTCTCATTCGCTTGCTTCCGGAATCTGTTCCTTTGAGCACTAATTATTAAAAAAAATAAAAGCCCCCAAGATCTAATTTAACTTGAAATTTTTGAACTAATGCTTAGCAGCTCAAAGTCTGGCCATTTGACTTTTGATTTACCTGCCTCAAAAGTCAGACTAAAAAATTCATTTTACCTTTTTCAAGTGATTTTGTGTGTCTACTCTACACAAGCTTCTGCTCAAAAATACTGAAGTCAGGATTAGTGAGGAGTTAACTTCTATTTGCATCATCCGGGGTAGTGAGGATGTCTGAGATGCAGATTAAAACTCGCATCCCATTCTGGGCGTCTGTTATGATTCAAATAATATGGCAAAATCACACGCCAACGCAATAAACCGGATATGCCATGTGATGAGCAGTATCAGAGAAGTTTTGTTTCATGTCAGCATTATGCAGAAGTGAAAGGTGATTGTCTGGTTAATTTACAATGCCGATTAAATGTTCAAAAGCGGGTCGCTTCAAGCCCAAATTCATGGATATCTGTAAGATATTTCTGCAGTTACAGACAGTGTGCTTTCCCTCTGAGTTGCAATGAGTTCTATCATATTCGGCGATATGGCCAGTGGTTGGACATCGAATCTACATTTCGATCACAAGCCACGACTTTATATAGTTGGCGAACCTTCATGAATTTTTAACCTGGTGGTGCTATTCTAGTTTAGTTTTGTTTCGTGCTATTGTAACACCAGTAACATTGTATTGTTTTGTAATACTTTGAGCTGTTATGCGTCGTCGTTTTCTCAGACCAGGACCGGCGGCGCGTCGCGGACGTCGCGCTGCCACCGAAAGACACTTGCTGTGCTCAGGCTGCCAACGGATACTGCCTGGTAATTGTTACTGCACCTTATAACTTTCATTTTAGTGGTAACTTGACTGATGCTTATTCATTCTTGACGTTCTGTTTGATCGATCGAGTGACTTTTAAATTATTCCATTCTATTAAGTAATTAGATTGCGTACGATATTCTATGAGTGAAGTGGCGTGACCATTCACTATCCAAGATCAGAATGCTGTAAGTATTTGGTATACTAAAGAATTTGCCATAATTATTGAGGTGGCGGAAGCCGTGTGATAGACCGAGTGGCGTAATGATTTCCTGCGTACGATATAAAAACGCCTTCACGAACAGACTAGACGAAGCTATGTAGGAGCATATGTTCAGTCTTAAAGTGCCTAGCAACTTACGGACCAACTTACGATCTCTTAACTTTTTTTGAAAGTATGGGCCCAGGCAATAAGTCTAGCAGCTATCTCAGTCAATCGTTTGTTATGGAAAGATCGGGTTCCAAAGGCCGCATCCCTTGTGAATCAAGTCACGAAAAATTCAAGAATCGGCAACAGGCCATGATCCTATTTCTTCAATGCCGACACTTCTATTCAATTCTATTCTATAAACTAGTGCAAATGAAGCGTTTTCTGCTCTATTAATACTGTTTTTTTTGTTAATACAGGTGGCGGAATGCGATGCTACCGATATCGGCTTCTGTGAGGCAAAGACTCGGTGTGAGGCGCGAGGTCTGCCTATGGCTTCCCAGGAACTGTACAACAACTACAGCCTCATCGGCGACCCGACTCTGCTTGGCACCAGTGAGTTGACAATTCCAGTTAGAATTGCACTTACAATATTTATAACATTAGAAGACAGTGATTAAAAAGATAAATTGAAACTCAATGATAGAGCTCAGCCGCATCATTATATAATCAATCTAATCTTTCATGTTGCAACGGAACTTTCACGTTGGTATCATTTATTAAGTAAATCAAATGGGTGGCGTATACAGCTCAACCACTGATCGTTTTATATGCAATCTTATGTTCTCGTTTATTCTCAGACCAAATTTACTTCTGGGCTAACATACATCGTGGCGAAGACTTGGTGTGGCGCTGGATGCCGAGCATGGACCCGATGGGCGACGTGTTTTTTGTTAATGCGTTGAGACCTGACCATGACTGTGCAGAGATGCGCGTCGAAAACAACACGATGAACTTCTACAGCATATCGTGTTTCGAAAATGATGAAGAGTGTGCGCTTTGTTACGATCCTCAAACCAATCTGCCTGCGTGCTAGGAGTGAAGTCGAAAACCATGCAGTGAGCCGTCAACACTTCCTCAATATTACTCAAGAGTAGTTGACACTGTTGTAATATTATCGGCACTGGTCACAGAACGCACTTAAGGGTTTCAACCGGCGATCGTGGGTTAATTTTGCACCAATTTGTCTGTGTTTATTCACTAATCTGTCGGGCAGTGAATGCTCTCAAATAAAAGTGTTAAAAATATGCAAATGTCTCATTTTTAAATTTCTCACGGGAGCTATGGATGAAGCTCAATATTATATCACACCAATTTGACTAAATGCTCCTCTAAACATTTGTCATCACAATATTTATTACGAACTGAATCAACTACATTAGCTTCAACTCTGAAGGCAAATACAGCGATGGAGTTCACAAATAAAACTGAATAAACTGAGTAAATTTCACTCGAAGTAGCCATGTTTAAACTAAATTCGTTACCAATTTGTGGTGTACAGCGATTTATGGCTGATTTCGTCGTTGGTAATGAGGCCACTTTGAATGCAGTGGGCTGCGAGTGCAATGTCAAAATCTATGAAAATTTGTCTCGTTGCTGCTCGTTGATATGATTTTGGTGATAGGGCTAGTAAACGCTGCATTTAAAGAATTATTTGTTTTATATTATACTCTCCCCGTGACAAATAGACGTCTGATATTAACTTTTAAACAACTTTTCCAATAGCATCGTGGGGAATAACACTAACGATATGTTCCTCCAGAACATATCACTTTAGTTTAGAATACAATAATTTTGTAAGCACCAAAAGATTATGCAAAACGTTGGTAAATCTTGTGAAGGCCAATATAAGTTCTATTACTGGAATTTGGTATTTTTTATTGAAGAATGAAGTGTTGGAATTTATTATAAAACAGAGGTAAATGTTTACAGGTATGGGTTATCTATACAATGAGTCACACTGGGGTTAGTGGAGTTTCAACTCCATTTAACTGATAAGCATAAGGCTAAATTTACTCGATATATAACCTCTATTAATACTCAGCTGGAAGTAATGTTTATTCAACCGAAGTTTCAACCGTGGTCGAGAGCGGACGCTCGTGTTTTGCGGTCCCAGATTTTCAACTTTTAACTTTTACTGTGCCATTTTCGGAACTCTTTATGCATTTTTTTTATGTTCCGTGTCAGTGATTGACTGAATTTTCAGTGAAGTCAGTAAAAGAGAGTACGAATAGAAAAAAGAAGCCTATAGTAAAAGTGTTTCCATCTGAAATAACGCGATCTAGAGTCAGCGAGGGTCGTCAAGCGAGGGCAACGAGCACTGCCCCGCCAGCGTAGAACAATAGAGCCCTTGTTTTATAGCCA